GCGTGGGAGACCAGGAGAAGCGCCTGGCTCCCGGCTTCGGATCAGCGCGGTGCACCAGCTGCAGCAGCCACTGGAGGGTGAACCATCGGCAAAAGACCTTTCTTTCTGTCTCTCTCTCTGTCCAAAAAAAAAAAAAAAAAAAAAAAAAAAAAATCCTTCTAATTCACATTCTCTCAAGCCCTACATCTTTTCTGACTTAATTTCTGTCAGCATACCGTGTCTGCATTATTTTTCTGTCTAAAAAAACAAAGTTATGAATTTATCTTCATTTACTCTTTTAGCTATTTTATATTCTACTAAGTTGAAAAAATAAATCCAATTGCAATTAAGTTGGAAAATGCAAAAATACCCAACAGGTCACCTAAGGAGTACCGTCCTCTTTAACTCTCAGCCAACATCCACCCGACCCACCCACCCAGGACATGGCATATTTCTTTTTTTTAATTTTTTTTTTTTTTTTGACAGGCAGAGTGGACAGTGAGAGAGAGACAGAGAGAAAGGTCCTCCTTTGCCGTTGGTTCACCCTCCAATGGCCGCCGCGGCCGGCGCGCTGCAGCCGGCGCACTGCGCTGATCCGATGGCAGGAGCCAGGAGCCAGGTGCTTTTCCTGGTCTCCCCTGGGGTGCAGGGCCCAAGCACCTGGGCCATCCTCCACTGCACTCCCTGGTCTTTCTATTCAGATCTTCCCCTATCACCTTTGGTTAAAATTTTATGTTGGGGGGCCGGCACTGTGGCACAGCAGGTAAAGCAGCTTCCTGCAATGCCAGCATCCCATGAGTGCTGGTTCATGTCCCAGCGGCTCCAATTCCAATCCAGCTCCCTGCTAATGGCCTTGGAAAAGCAGAAGATGGTCCAAGTGCTTGGGCCCCTGCTATCCATGCGGGAGATCTGGAAGATGATCCTGGCTCCTGGCTTTGGCTTGGTCCAACCCTTGCCGTTGTGGCCATCTGGGGAGTGGACTAGTAGATAGATCTCTCACTTTCTCTCCAACTTTCAAATAAATAAAATCTTTAAAAAATTTTTAAAAAATTTCATATTAGTTGACAAGTGATCACATATTCCTCATTTCTAACAGTGATAAAAATTCTTTCTACTCTTTAGAATGGCCAAAGGAATGAAGATAATGATACAAAGTGAGTAGCACATGCTCTACAAAGTTTTTTCTTTTTGCTTATGTTTACTCACACATATTTTGAATTGATTTTGATTTCTTATCTCCAGCTATTTTATATTATTCTAAAAATGAGACCATTTGCCAATTTGTTTCCAACTGGCTATTGCTTTTACATCACAAATTTAATTATTTATACAACCTCACCTTGTAATCAGCTACAGCACTAACTGCTTTCCTAGGTAAACAGCCCTGCGATTGTGGCAAATAGAGATAAATGTTGCCTCTTTCTTCCCTAATAGTTGTATTAGTTGGCCTAAAAATTCCTTTTCGATTCCACCTTCCAGTCAGTTTTAATCACAGCTTTTGCCTGTCCTGTAGAATGAACCGTGACGGTCTTGATATAGTTCTATAAAATATCATAAATCAAGGAATTAACTATCTGTAAGTTTCAACAGACTGCATGATGTTCTCCACTGTAAGCTTCTCTGAAGGACAGTTTTGGAGTAGCCCATCAAGATGTTCTAGGCACTGTTTATTTATTCCTGAGTCATTTACACTTTTATTTTCCTAATGGTAGAAAGCAGAAAATGAACGTTGACATACATATCAGCATTTTACATTTATTATATAAATGCTAACATAAATAGTAAGGTAATTTATATTTCTTTCAGAAAATAAGCATGGGTGGTTGGTTGAGTTCTTGCATGTCTGCAAATACATTTAATTGTCATCACAGCTGAATACCGATCTGGCTAGGACAGAAGTCAATATTCAAAATCTACATTCCTCAAAATGTGTCAATATTTTTTCACCACACAAGGTGAATATTCATTATTCATTCGGGAAACATTAATAAGAGGCCACTCTGGGCAGCACTCTTCAAGGTACAGGAGGTGAGAGTGGTGAAAGCAGCTCACAGAACATGCCTGCCCTGGCGGAGCTGACCTTCCAGCCACGGAGCAGCCAGGTGAAGGTGATCAGCAGACCACAAAGCAATTAATTAAACATATGGTGCACCAGATGCTGTTAAGTACAAAATAAAGTAAACCTAGGAGAGGGACGGGGGAGCTGTGAGTGGTGCAAATGAGTGGTCTGATTGGCAGGGCACCTTTTCAGGAATGGGCAGAGGTGCCTGGACTATCACAGTTCCAAATGCTAGGCTCTGTGCTAGGTTTTCTTCTGTATTTGGCCTCAATTGTCACTGTCTTGTCAGCACTCTGATACTTTCCATAAGATTTTTATTTTCTCCAATGAAAGCTTACAACTTTTAGCAGGCATTATAGTGTGGAGGAGGGGAAAAGGATTAGGTGCATGGTTTCATACCCAGACTTACTTTAAATCCTGGTTATGTGGCTTATTAATTGTTACCTTAAGCAAATTATATTCTGTATGGCTTTCTTTCCTTATCTGTAAAAGTGAGTACAACTTCTGGGGCTGGTGCCGTGGCGCACTAGGTTAATCCTCTGCCTGCGGCGCCAGCATCCCATATGGGCATTGGGTTCTAGTCCCGGTTGCCCCTCTTCCAGCCCAGCTCTCTGCTGTGGCCTGGGAAGGCAGTGGAGGATGGCCCAAGTGCTTGGGCTCCTGCACCCCCATGGGAGACCAGGAGGAGACTCCTGGCTCCTGATTGGCGTAGCTCTAGCCGTTTCAGCCATTTGGAGAGTGAACCAATGGAAGGAAGACTTTTCTCTCTGTCTCTCTCACTGTCTGTAAACTCTACATGTCAAATAAATTAAAAAAAAAAAAAAAAAAAAGAATAACTTCTAGTGTTGTCATGAATATGTAAAGTGCTCTAATCCAGGGCCTGACACAACGTTAGCTGTTTTTCTAATATATGTTCTCAGGGATTAAACACTATTCTTTCTTCTCAGTCTCATTTCCTTATGATTGGTTGACTTCACTGTAATCTCTTCTCTAGAAATACCTTAAGAACCATATCCAACAAACATTAAGACTTTTCTATGCTAAGAAGTATCCACACAACCCAATTTTGTTCTCAATATTTCCATCCTCTTTAGGTTAAAAAAAAAAGGCATTAAAAAAGCCCAAGTTTGAAAAAAAATAAGGAGCAGTGAGAGAATGAAAAATATAAATAATCTTTAAGGATCAATGATTTTTAATGGTTATCCTAAGAAACTATCTTAAAAGATGAACATCACGCTGGGCAATGGAGATAGTCAGAAGGGCAAAATATATCTTAAGTTCTCATACCTTGTTCATTACCATGGATTCACAACCAGAAAAAAAATGTGGTGACAGCTTCTTCTAGCTAATGATACAGATCAAAAGAAACTGCTGGTGATTTTACAGATCATTTAATCTTCCAAACTTACCATCCACTTTACAAATGAGGTTACTGAGGTTCAGAAAGCTTCCCCAGAGCCGGTAACTAATTAAGGGCCAGCGCTGAGAACCAAGTCAACACCTTTAGGCTCTAAAGTGTACTTTATTCTCCTGCGTTTAATGCAATGCGTACTGCCTGAAGATTTGAGAAAATTAAAAATCCGACTGCTAAACCAAACTTTACCAATTAGTCTGACATTCCTGAGTTTGCATGTGTACATTTTCAAACACCTGGAGTTTGCTATGTCCAGCACAGTACCAAAAAACATGTTTAAATATAAAAAGCAATTCTTGCTCTCAAAGAGCCTGTCAGAAGAAAACAGGAAAAGTAGAATGTGGTTATATAGGACAGCACAGAACTGAGTTAAAGATCTTAAGCAATTTATCGAAATTTTCTAATTGTTTATTGCGTTAAAAAAAAAAAAAACCCTTACCAGTGTTGGGAGAGAGAACAAAGGGAAGGAAATGAGATTTTCATAATGAACTGTCAATGAACTGTCCCTTGTATCAATCTTGTCAATGGCTCCGACTTCTCATTCAGCGTCGAAGGCCATGAACTGTTACTCTACCATTTAGGTATAATAAATATTTCTTTGAAAAACATTTCTAACTATAAGAAAAGGTCAAAAAGAGGCTGCAGTGAGAAATCAGAGCGATTAGGGAGGGGGTCAGGGCTGCCGAGGGAAGAAGCTCCCGTCCGCGGAGAACAAAGACTACCATTCCCATCTATCTCGCCACGGAAGCAAGAATGAACACAAAAGGCCAAGTCTTCCAGGTGCAGGCACCGAGCAACTTCTCTCCACGGTCCGTCCCTCGCGGTGGGGCCCGTCCTGGGAGCTCCCCTGCAGCCCTTACCGCCTCCCGTCATCTCATTTCACTGTCCCCAGGGCTGCTTCCCCGCTTCTTGAATGACGGTTGAAAGCACGTTGTAAAATAAAACGGCGACAACCTTCCGGCTCTGCACAATCCTCATTTCACCTGCCCGATTCGGACATCTGATTCGGAAAACCTCAAGCTCCGACTCCCACGAGTCGCTGTGCCTCGGCGCAACTCCAGCTCCCGTGACGGCCAAGTGCGGCCGGGCCCGCGAGACGCCCGCGCGCCGGCCAGGGCCCTCCGGCCTCCCACGATCCCCGCCGGCTCGGGCTGCCTGCAGCGCCGACACCCACGGCCGAGGCGCTCCCCGCCACCCAAGAGCCTTCCCCTCGGGGGGGACGCGGGAGATACGGGCTCATTTCTGGAAGAATCTGAGCACTCGGAGCGCGGGGCAGCTGCGAGAGGAGGGAGGGGGAGGGTCGGGAAGGGGGCGGGGAGCTCGGCGCTCGGAGATCTCCCAGTCGCTTTCGGGCGCCCGCAGCAACCCTGCGCCGGGGTGGGAAGGCGAGCTTCAGGCCCCCGAAGACGAGGGCCAGAGGGGGAGCTCCCGACCGCCACGGTCCCGAGGGACTGGGATGCCAGAGGAACAAAGCCGCTGCCAACCTCCTCCCGCACCCCTCCCGCCCCGGTGGTCCAGCGACCCCGAGGGACCCCGAGGCCCGCTCACCTGCAGTCAGCAGCTGCATGGCATGAGTGAAGGACGGGTCGAGCGAGTCCTTCTCGGCCATGAGTTCGGGCAGGTACTTGTTCTCAGGCTCCATCTTGACCGAGGCCGTGGCTGATGGGGGCAGCAGCGGGGTCGGCGCCGGACCACCCACCGTCGCGTCGGGACCCGTGGCCGAGGGCGGCAGCAGTGGCGGCGGCTGCGTGGCGGGCGAGGCCCGGGCGCCCCCCCGGGGCCCCCCTCCGCCTCCCCGGGACCGGTGAGGCAGCGGCGGTTGCCGAGACGGCGTCTGACGCACCGAGGGGTGGGCACCCGAGGGGTCCATGGAGCCACTGCGGCCCGAGGACCGGGTCATGCGCGCGGCGGGGTCGTCCCGGCGCTGCATCGCGGAGGATGTGCGATCGAGCGATCGAGGGGACCGACGCGGCAGCGGCCGAGGCCCGGGCGGCGGTTGGTGGCGGCGGTGGTAGAGCGGGAGCAACAGCGACCGAAGCCGACCCGAGCGACCCAGCCAGAGAGAGCACCGGAAATGAGGCAGCGCGCGTGCGCACCAAATCCCGGCACCGCCCTTGGGTTTCTCCGCGAAGAACAAAGTCCCCAGTCGGGCCACGGCGCCTGCGCACTGCCGTGGTGCCCGAACCGGAGGCCTCCCCCCTCCTCTTTTCCCTCGGAGCCCGCCAGGCCGGAGCTTGGCGCGCGTGCGCGGACGGCCGCGGGCTCCGTTCGTTTTTTCTCCCACGTGACTCGGCGCTAGCGGGACACGTGTCTCCTCCCCCTTCGGACCGGGTGCGCGGAGGGGGCGGGGGCTGTGGAATGTCTTTGTCTGAGCGTGGGCCGGCGGCGAGCGTGGGGCGGAGGTGGGGGGGAGACCTGTTACTCGTGGGCCACGCCCCCTCCAACGGCCGAGCCGCGGAGCCGGGCGGGGGGTGTGGGCCGGCCACCGGCGTGAAGACGTGCTGGCTGCGTGGGGCACGCGGGGAGGGAGGCGCAGGGAGAGGCTGACGCCGGGATGCGTGGTGGCGCTGGGGGCGGCCGGCTGACTGGGAGACTTGAACTGAGAGGGCGGAGACCTGAAGCGTAGCCGGGAGCCCAGTGCTGTCCCGAGGTTTCCCGCACACTAGGTTCTGACACGCTAGCCGTGGTTAGTCGGGGAAGTCCGTCCGTGTCGCAGCCTGCTTCCCGCTTGAAGCGGTTATTTCGCGGAGTGAGCAGAGGCCGGGTCTCAGGCGGCCGTGCTGAGGCGAGGGCCTTGGGCAGCGGATCTCTCGCCCGAGGCCGGCTCGGGTCTGGGAGCTGCGTGCGGGGGAGCCCGGGTCTCTACTATCAGTCATCGAACGCCTGGCGCGTCTCTAACTTTCCCTTCCGGCCGCAGGTTTTTTTTTTTTTTTTTTTTTTTTTTCTTCACCCATTCAGAGTACTCCTTCCATCCCTTTTCCTTCCGGATCTGTTCCCTAAATGAGCTCGCGACTTTCAAAAGCGTCTCTGGAAACTGCCTGCTGGGTGCTTGGAAACGTGATTTCTGGATTTGAAGCTCAGACCCCTTTAATGAGGGAACATAAAGGCTTGGCTACGTTTTTTTACTAAAATGAGAACAAAACGCTAATATCCATAAATTATACGTATAAAGTACAAAATATATAAAAAATTTTGTACAGATTATGGGTTATATAAATAAAAATACATGAGGGTATGTCAAAAAGTTCATGGGAACAAATCTGGTGCAAAACAATTTCGAGATCCTTGTAATGTTGCATTTTTAAAGACTTTTTGCATAGATTTCGAAATTTTTTGTACCTACCCAAATATATTTTACTTCCATTTTTCCTTCAACTTTTTAAACTACCGTGGTGGTGATGGTGGTGGGGCATGTGTGTTGTGTGTCTGGTATAGTAGTTTAAGGTCACATAAATGACCCTTGTCCTTGAATACTCAGGTAGTTTAAAGTCAAGTAGGAAGAAAAAAAATTTTTTTTTTTGACAGGCAGAGTGGACAGTGAGAGAGAGAGACAGAGAGAAAGGTCTTCCTTTGCCGTTGGTTCACCCTCCAATGGCCGCCGCTGCAGCCGGCGCACCGCGCTGATCCGATGGCAGGAGCCAGGAGCCAGGTGCTTTTCCTGGTCTCCCATGGGGTGCAGGGCCCAAGCACCTGGGCCATCCTCCACTGCACTCCCTGGCCATAGCAGAGAGCTGGCCTGGAAGAGGGGCAACCGGGACAGAATCCGGCGCCCCGACCGGGACTAGAACCCGGTGTGCCGGCCCCGCAAGGTGGAGGATTAGCCTATTGAGCCACGGTGCCGGCTGGAAGAAAATATTGTGTTGCTATTGCTGTGGCATACAGCACTTTAACAAAATCAGCATAATTGCAGCATAACATTTCTAAGAATTTCATACAATTTTTGGAACACATATCAATAACATCTGATAAATATAAGTTAAAGAAGGCTTCACATCAATATTTGGCCATTCTTCCCATGTAATTTAACATATCCCGTAAACCTAAATTCTCTTTTAGAATGTGAGACATGTCCTTTGAAGTTTTCCAGGAGCCCAACTAGAAAATTCACAAGTTAAGGGGAGGTCACAAAGGCTTAATTTAGAATTTGTTGTGGGGAAGTTTACAAAAAAGAAAGGGGGGGCAAGGCAAGCATTCAGTGCAGCGGTTAAAACCCGACTTTGGGATGGCTGCATCTCATGTCAGAGTGCCTGGCTTTGAATACAGGTGTATCCTGCATTGGTGTATCCCTGAAGGCGCCAGGTGATGGCTCAAGTAATTGAATCCCTGCTACCGCCACCTACCTGGGAGACCAGGATTGAGTTCCTGGTTCCTGGCTTTGGCCTGGCCCAGCCCTGGCTGTTGTGGACATTTAGGGAGTGAACCAGCACATGGAATATATGTCTTTCTCTGTCTCTGCCTTTCAAATAAAATTAATTTTTAAAAATCAAAGGTTTAAAACATTTCATCAAGATGGAATCACAGGACACAAAAGACTTCAAAAAGCAAATGCAGAAGACTACATAGGTGTCAACAAAAACTTGGCTTTTTAATATTAAGAAGATTTATTTTTGTTAAGTAATAAAGGACCCATAAAGCAGAAAGCACAAGAAATTATCTTGATAAAACATAAACTCAGGGGAGAGGGTTTGACCAAATGGTTAACACCGCTTGGGGTGCCCCCAGCCCATGCTGTGCTACCTCAATCCAGCTTCCTGCTGATGGGCATCCTGGGAAACAACAGGTGATGGCTTGGCAGTTGAGTCTACTGGTCTACATGGGGAACCTGGACGGAGTTTCCTGGGTCCTGGCTTCAGCTTGGCCCAGCCCCTGCTATTCTGATCACTTGGGGAGTGTACCAATGGATGGGAGATTCTCTCTCTCTCTCCTTCTCTCTCCTTCTCTCTCTCTCCCTCTCCCATTCTGCCTTTCAAATAAAATTTTAAAATGCACACACACACAATAATTTTTTCCCAAGTTAATTACATAAAAGGTAAAACTTTTATTTCCTACTAAGAACAAATTGGCACTCCATTGTAAACCTTGGTGCCTTACAGAGAAACCAAATTCTAGTTTTGCATCAGTGTACTTTTGATATGAAAAACCCAGTTTTTAGAAAGACTTAGAATTCCCTTCTAATTTTAGCCAGCCTGATCACACATAAAATTCACAAGATTCTACAAACATTCCACAACTTCTTATCCATTCAGGTTTTGTCCTATATTTTTCCTTTTTCTCATTTTGGAACCAGCCATTCTACTTCAGAACAAAAATTACTCCTTTTTTTTCCCTGAAAAAAAAAAAAAAGAAAAAGAAAAACCTTCCATACCTTATAACAAAAGCATGTCTTACTTTTTCAAATAAGGAGTTGCTTGTTTTTTTTTTTTTAAGATTTATTTATTTACTTGAAAGAATTACACACAGAGAGAAGGAGAGGCAAAGAGAGAGGTCTTCCATCCATTGGTTCACTCCCCACATGGCCAGATCACTGTTCCGAAGCCAGAAACCAGGAGCTTCTTCCAGGTCTCCCATGAGGGTGCAGGGGCCCAAGGACTTGGGCCATCTTCTACTGCTTTTCCAAGCCATAGCAGAAAACTGGATTGGAAGTGGAGCAGCCAAGACTCGAACCGGTGCTCATATGTGATGCCAGCACTGCAGGCGATGGCTTTACCTGCTACGCCACTGTGCCAGCCCCGCTTATTGTTTTCTATTTTAATTACCATGTAGTTACTAGATTTTTAATTTTTACTAACCTTCACTTCTGGTGCAACCTAGGATGTAAACACTTTCGGACTGTCTTATATCAGCACTTTGTAGATGAGTACTACTTTATAATTTTCAGAAACATGTTTCCTCATGAGAACTTTTTTTAGATATATTCAGCTTCTCTATGACATGTAAAAACAAGATGACAAATACTTAAAGCTTGTATTCAGCAATTAATGTTTCAGTATTTTAATTTATATAGATATGACTCAGACATTTCATAAATGTATACAACTTAATGTAACATAACTTCAGGATTTCAAGTTACTGATGCTATGAGAAGCCCACTTACTGTTTTATCCCTATATGCACCTAAATTACTCATTCCTAATCATTTTGCTTGAATTGTTCACTAAGCAAAGCTAACCCCAAAAATATGTTGCCTTGGTATGTTGATTACCAGTAGGTAAGCATGGCAAGGCTTCCTGAATCCCTCTAATCTGTCCAAAGACAGAATCTTCAAAAGGAATGCAATTGTTATCATTCCTCTCCCCAGGGAGTTCCAGCAACCAAGCCAGATCAGCTTTGTCACCAGCCCAGGAGACTTCACCACACCTAGACACACTCTATTACATGATAAACTCTCATTTCTTCTTTAAAAAATATATATATATAGGCTGGCGCCGTGGCTCACTAGGCTAATCCTCCGCCTAGCGGCGCCGGCACACCGGGTTCTAGTCCCGGTCGGGGCGCCGGATTCTGTCCCGGTTGCCCCTCTTCCAGGCCAGCTCTCTGCTGTGGCCAGGGAGTGCAGTAGAGGATGGCCCAAGCACTTGGGCCCTGCACCCCATGGGAGACCAGGATAAGCACCTGGCTCCTGGCTCCTGCCATCGGATCAGCGCGGTACGCCGGCCACAGCGTGCCGGCCACGGTGGCCATTGGAGGGTGAACCAACGGCAAAGGAAGACCTTTCTCTCTGTCTCTCTCTCTCACTATCCACTCTGCGTGTCCAAAAAAAAAAAAAAAATATATATATATATATATATATTTGAAACGTAGAATTACACAGAGAGGGAGAGACAGAGATCTTCCTTTTGTTGGTTCACTCTCCAAATGGGCGCAATGGCTAGGTCTGGGCCAGGCCAAAGTCAGGAGCCATGTACTCCGTCTGGGTCTTCCACATGCATGGCATGGGCCCAAGCACTTGGGCTATTTTCTGCTACCTTCCCAGGTGCAATAGCAGGGAACTGGATTGGAAGCAGAGCAGCTGGGACTGGAACTGACACTCTGCTGTGGGATACCAGCGCTGCAACTGGTGGCCTAGCCCGCTGCATCACGATGCCAGTCCCTGCTCATTGAGTTGGTTACTAGTGGCATGCT